GAGTGCGGAGGAATCGAGAGACACCCGGAAATGGGAAAAAGGGGAATAAAAAGGGGGAGACAGGGAAAGGGGATGGGGTCAGTTAACGGGGGTACCCGGGATTCCATGGGGGACCTGGAAGGAGGGGACCTGGAGGAGGGATAAGGGGAAATCTGGGCATCCTGAGKCGCGGCACAGTGTTTTAAGGGAATTTTGGGAATCTGGGGTGTGACAGGGACAGGTTGTGATAGGACCTGGGGAGGCGTTGGTGGGGGAGGGATGAGCTGTGGAAGGGATTTTGGATTTTGGAGGGGGTTGGGGGGTGGAGTGTGAGTGGGATGGGGATGGAGAAGATTCCAGAGTSCTGGGAAGGGAGAGGATTGAGGCCTGGGAAAGGTCCAAGGGGTGGTGGAAGTGGAGATGGAAGGAATCCAGGAGTGGTGGGGGAAAGTGGGAATGGAAAGTGGAGAACCCAGGAGTGCTGGGAAAAGGGGGAAAGGGACCCCAAAGTGCTGGGAGAAGCAGGGAAGGAAGGGGACCCAGGAATGTTGGGAGGAGGAGAAAAGGGGAGAAGAGAGAACTCGGGAGTTCTGGCAGAAGAGGAACGTGCTACAGGGAGTGCTGGSAAAAAGTGGAAAGGGAGAAAACCCAGGAAACCCCGAGTGGTTTCACTCCCTGGGGAGGAAACAGAGCCCACGGAACACTGGGGGAATTTTGGAGTCCTCACTTCATGGGATTCCCTCCCTGCTGCTCCCTGCAGGATGTGGGGCTCTCCTGACTTTGGGAAGGGGCTGTTCCCTGTCCCACAGCCCCAGGCTGGGCTCACAGAGGTGGAATGTGTATCCATGTGGCTTTCCCTAKTTCTGGAAAGCACCAAGATTTATTCTTAGCACCAGGTCCCTCAAAACAAATTTTCCTCGTTAGTGAGTCCAAAACCTCCACTCAGGACTTGAGATTTTCTTCTTCTGGAGCTCCTACATGGGGAAGAGATGAGAGGGAGGAAAACARTCCTTTCCTTTCCGTGAGGAATGTGCTGACTCCGCTCTCCTGGCAGCTCTGTGACCCCAGTGAAGGAAAAACTCCTCTGTCTGAAATACTGGGCTCCAAATTCCTTTGGGAATTGCTCACGGGGGTTTTYGAAACATTGAGGCTGGACAAGGGCAGAGATTCTCAAATTGACAGGGATCTCTGATCCAAATGGTCTTTTTGGTGAATCAGAGCACCAGGGAAGGGTGGTGGCTTCCAGAGGGGTATGACAGCAAACCTTGGAGCCTTCTTGTCCCTGCTTTGAAGGGAATGGATTGGGAAGGGTTTGGAGCACCTGGAGAGGCTGAGGGAGATGGGGGAGCTCAGCCTGGAGAAAAGGAGGCTYGGGGGAGACCTTCTGGCTCCCTAATATTCCCTGACAGGAGGGTGGGATCAGGATCTGCCAGGACACAGGATGTGGCTTCTCACTGCATGAGGGCAGGGTTAGATGGGATATTGGGAAAGGATTCTTGCTGGGAGGGTGGTGAGGTCCTGGAATGGAATTCCCAGAGAAACCATGGCTACCCAATCCCTGGAAGTGTCCAAGGCCAGGTTGGATGGGGCTTGGAGCAACCTGGGATAGTGGAATAGGAACGTGGCAGAGGTTTGGAATGAGATGGTSTTGAAGGTCCCTCCGAACCCAAACCATTCTTGGATTCTGTGATCGCACGTCTTTTCCTTCCACCATGCCTTTTTTTCTCCAAAACCTGTGCGAACCCACGTGGAGCGACAGCGTAATTCCAGCAGAAAGAAAAACAGCCCCGTGTCGCTCTCAAATTCCTGTGGGATTAACACTTGGTCTTCTCTTCCATAGGTCTCATAAACAGCCACAGGAACATGCACGGGAATGTTCCACGTCCAGTGCCGTTGGCTCCTCCGAGGTGGAACAMCCCCCGCCAGCCCGGCTACGCTGGGAGAGGAGCATTTTCTGCCAGGTACCCCCAGCAGGCTCCCAGGAATTTCCACCCACGCCAGACTCACACCTGGAGGAAAAAATACTCCCTGGATAACCGGCTGCCAGGAGCGGGGTGTGATGTTGGAAGTGCTTCCGGCGCTTCCCAGGGTTTTGGGAGTCTCGGGGACGGCCAGACTGCCGAGCCACCGGCATCGTTCCCGGAGAGACACGTGGACTTCACCATGGATGGGAACATCGTTGTGGATATCCAGGTGCCACAAAGGGCTGGCCAGGAAAACATGGGTCCTCACAACGAGTTTTCTGGGCGGGAAGCCACGGCAGCTCCTTTGGCTGATGGGAATATCCAGAAATCTCTTCTCCAAAAGGAAGAGAGAAGACCTTCCCTGTCCATTTCCTTCAGCTCCACGTCGAGGACGGTGTGTCTGCCTGGAAGTGGAGCCAGTAGCTCCTTTTCCGCCTCTGGAAGCACCAGTGAAAGTGCTGTGACGCTGAAGTCGGAGCCACARAAACCTTTGGAATTACCGGGTCAGGAGCTAGCCCAGCATATGGCACGGATCAAGACAGAACCCTCGTCTCCAGGGCACCCGATTGGTGAGGAAATCCGGGATGCTTCCCTGCATCCCGAACTCTTTGGGAATGCCGAGACGCTCTCTAGACCCTCTCAGGTTGGGCTGGCTCCAGTGAAGAGCAGGTTTCCCGTAATTCCCAAAACTCCCGGTCTCCTMAAAGCTGCCTCAGCACCCATCACCAGCAAATCTCAGAAATTCAAGAAAAATAACTACACCTGGGTGGCAAACCCYGGGAAAAGCTCTCGGATCGTGAAGAGGAGCCCCCGATCGGAAAATTCCAAGAAGGGCATTACAGGAGTGGACAAAGGTGCTAAAATTTCCCCCAAAGTGGATTTGGGAGCAAAGGTAAAGAAACTAGGATTGCAATCCAAGCCAGGGGTTTCTCCCAGTAAATATAAATGGAAAGCCTCCAGCCTACAGACCTTGCCTTCCACTTCCAAGTCAGCATTCCAGTGGAGRTCTGAGGACCAGAAGAAGCCTCCAGTTCCAAATATCTCTCGAACCCCATCTGTCCCGCTGGCTCTGAGTGTGGCGTCTGTTGTTTCTGGTGGGATGAAATCCTTCGGAGAGGCTGCGCTGTCCAGTTACAAAGTGAAGAGTCGGACAAAAATMATCAGGAGGAAAGGGAATGTGGGGTGAGTTGTTGGTTGGAATTTTGTGTCTGTGGATTTCACGTGAAGTTGTGGCTGTGGGAGAAATTCCGGTGAGGGTTGTTGTGTGCTGGAGGATTTATGGAGTCATGATCTTCCTTGAAGATCATGGAATTCCACCCTCCTGCCGTGGGCAGGGGGACCTTCCATTATCCCAGGCTGCTCCAAGCCATGTGCAGCCTGGCCTTGGACATTTCCAGGGTTGGGGGCAGCCACAGCTTCTCTGGGAATTCTATTCCCAGGCCTCCCCACCCTTCCAGGGAACAATCCCTTCCTAATATCGCATCTAACTCTCCCCTCTGTTAGCGGGAAGTCATTCCTTGTGTCCTGTCCCTTCATCCCTTGTCCCCAGTCCTTCTCCAGCTCTCCTGGAGCCCCTTTAGGCACTGGAAGGGGCTCTGAGGTCTCCTGGATCCTTCCCTTCTCCAAGCTTACTCTCAGCTCTCCTAGGCTGTCTCCAGAGCAGAGGGGCTCCATCYCTTGGAGCATCTCTGTGGCCTCCTTTGGACTSRCTCCAGCTCCAGGTCCTTCTGATGTTGGGGGATCCAGAGTTGGATCTCGTGAGCCCCTGTGGTCCCCAGCATCTCCTCACTCAGAAACGGAATCTGCATTTTCCTGGATTTATTTTCAAATTCCCAAAACTGTTGTGTTCAGGAAAAAGAGGAGAAATATTTTGGATCAGTGTATCGTGTCCAGTCTATCTCCTGGAAAACCCTGTCCAGATCCTGGGATGCAGCAGGGATGGGATATGAGCTCTGTCCCTGATTCTCTGCTGGTATTTTCCTCCCTTCCATCCCTTTGTGCTGCCTGGTTGGAAAACTGCTCCAAGTGATCAAGTGAATGGCATGGATTGGGAATCTGCTTCCTTTCGATTCCTGCTTCTTTTTCCCAGATCCTCTCAGTGCATCCCAGCAGATTTCCACCCTTTTCTTGCCCTCCTGCTTTGCCTGGAAAACTGTCACTGGGTGGATTGTGCTGGGAAAATCACTCTGGAGAAGCTGGGAATTTTTGGGATTTTTGGCAGTTGGGAAGACCTCCCACATCTTGCTAAATTCCAGCAGGAGCAGGGATGGTATCATCCCCCTGTGCTGGGCACTGCTGAGGTTCCTCAGATCCTGGGGGGAAGGATTTGGAGTGTGTCCAGAGATGGGAATGGAGCTGGGGAAGAGTCTGGAGAACCAGGAGAGGCTGAGGGAGCTGGGAGGGCTCATCCTGGAGAAAAGGAAGATCAGGGGGAACCTTCTGGATTGCTAAATTCCCTGACAGGAGGGTGGGGTGAGGTGGGGATTGGGATCTGCTCCCAGGGAACATGGGACAGGACAAGAGGAAAYGGCCTCAAGTTGCAGCAGAGGAGGTTTAAGTTGGGTATTAGGAAAATTCCTTCATGGAAAGGGTGGTCAGGCATTGGGAATCCCCATCCCTGGAGGGATTTAACGTTTAACATCCCTGGCACTTGGCGACAAGTTCAGTGGTGTCTGTGGCAGTGCTGGGGAGCAGTTGGGCTCGGTGATTTCAAAGGTCTTTTCCAACYTAAATGATTCCATGATTCCATGATTCAATCCCTCACATCTGTTGAGCAGAAGGCAACGAGTGAGTTTGGCTGTCAAACACCTCGTTCTCCATCTGTTCTTTGCCAGGAATTCCTCACATTTGCCTGTTTCCTTGGAATTTTCTGTTTAGAGTTTCTCCTCCCCCTGACGAGCATCCTGGTGGGATTTGACTCCTCAGAGCTCTGGAGAAGGACACCAGAAGCGTTTTGGTCACTTCCCTGCTCTCTCCTAACCGTGTGACATTCCCTTTCCAGTTCCCCCACGGATAAGAAGAACATCTCCCCCACCRTAGCCCTGAAGAGCCGCTTCCACCTCCGGAGGAAAACTTCCATTCGGGGAAAACCTTCAGTGACACCAAAACGCTCCTCACCCCGGGGCCTGGTGCAGATTTCCAAGCACAGGCTCTGCCGGTTGCCGGTGACCAGGACACAGGTGGCCTCCAAGGAAGGTAGGAACAGGCATTCCAAGGGCTCACTGACTCGGTGAAGTGATTCCAAGAGTTTGTGGATTTGGGAATGTGTTGCTGAGTCCTCCTGGAGGTGTTGTTAGTCATGGAGCAAACATCGAGTTAGATTCCGTATCTGTGCTGTCCTTTGAGAGCACCACACAAAAGCTATTTCCTGCTTTTACTGGGGATTCCCTGGATTTTCAGGCATCAAATAGGGAGCTTTTCCAGAAAGGAGAACGTTGGCAGAGGTAGGAATGCTTAATCTCTCACCTGTATCCCAGTGTCGTCTCCAGTTCTGTGTCTGATTTGCTTAAACCACCAATAATTAGAGGAGTACTGAATCCATAATGTTTGGAAACTGAATTTGAGCAGGGAATTTGCATCCATGTCCTGCTGCCTTGGTTTCACAGCAGCCAGAGTGGAATTCAGAGCTCAGAGTGGCACCTCCACGTGTCTGGAATGTTGGTGGGATGTTGGTGGCTTCAGGTCTGGTTCCGCTCTCACTGGGGACATTTTTGTGGGTAAAAGGCTTCCCCCACCTGGGATTAAGYAGTTTCAGATAGATATGAGGCACATTTTCACTGTGGTGCAACAAATTCCGTGTGGGAGTTGCTGGAGCTGGGACAGGGTTTGGACCGTGACGAAGCTGGGATTTGTCTGCAGTTGTATTTTGGGATTATTTTGTGTTCAGACAGCTTTGTTGATATGTTGTTGAGTTTTCTTGGATGAGGAATTTTGGACAGGGACCTGGAGTGCCAGGACACTGGGAATGGCTTCCCACTGCCAGAGGGCAAGGTTAGATGGGATATTGGGAAGGAATTGTTCCCTGTGAGGGTATGGATGCCCTGGAATAGAAATCCCAGAGAAGCTGTGGCTGCCCCACCCCTGGAAGTGTCCCAAGGCCAGGCTGCACAGGGCTTGGAGCACCTTGGGATAGCAGAAGGTGTCCCTGCCCATGGCAGGGGGTGGAATGAGATGATCTTTAAAGTCTTCCAGACCAGTCCATGATTCTGTGAAAAGACAGAAAACTGGAGAAATGGAGCAGTTCGGGATTGCAGYAGTGTTTTACTTCGGAGGAAATGGAGGCAGTGCTGGATACAGGGATATCTGCTTGTCTGGAATCCCAGTTCCTTGACTGAAGGGAGTTCAGTTCCTGTATTGAAATCTTGATTTTAACTGGGCAGGAATGAAAAAATAAAGCAGGGATGTAGTTGTCCTCTTGGCTTTAGGAAGTTGGCAAATAGGGAAGGCTGGAGAAAGGAAGGGAAAAAGAGGATATTGGTCTGGAAGTGACTTTGGGAGAGCCAATAGTTCATTCCCATGTCAAAAGTGGATCCACTTACTCAGCCTTTCCTGACAGATGCTGGTCTGTGTGTGGCATCTTCTCCTTTGCAGAGAAATTCAGGATTTCATTCCTTCCTTGGATTAAAATTTGCTAGATAGAAATTTCTAGATTTGAATCCTTTTGTACTTTCAGATTTTTCTTGGAGGTCTTCAATCCCAAGCAGAAGAGTTGCACCTTCATTTGAATTATTCTTTCACTCTGGGTTTGGAAAGCTGTAGAATTATTCAGGACTCTTCCTCCCTGTGTTCCAGGACTTTTGAGGGTTTTTTCCCCCCAGGTTTAGTAGGACAAGATTGTTGGGTGATGGATGAGGCAGGGTTATTTCCAAGTCTGGGAGTTCCTGGATGCTGACAGMGACTGGGACAACTCATCCCTCATCTTCTCTCTGAATGTGTAATTATGGATGAGGTGTTGGCGTCTTCTGGTTTCACAGGGAGCTGGGAATAACTGAAGCCTTGTGGGATTCAGTTCCTGCCTCTCACGTTATCCCAAGAGATTTTGGGAAGATTGTTTTGGTTTCTTTTTGAGCAAAGTGTGGATATTAATCCCGACAAAATGTTGTGGATATTAATCACCAAAAAAACGGTGGAGTTTTCAGTCTTTTCCATTTGTCTCAGGACAATGTGAGGGGGAAGTAAATGGCGATACTGGGATACACTGGGAGCAGAGCGGGGCAGAAATGGAGCAGGGAGATGGATTTTGAGGAACACCATCCATTTCTGGGATCACACTGGATGGAAGGACAGAGGGGAGGGATGTTCCCATCTTCCTGCACAGCAGGAAAAGCTGGATCATCTCCTGTCCCCAGGTGTGGTGACACAACCTGGCTGGTTTCCTGTTTGTCCTGTTCCACAGGATTTTGGGATTTGTGGCAGAGCTCTGTGCTCTGGACTAAAGACATTGCTCCTGCTTTTCCCAAGAGAGTTTCCCAACTCTCCAATTCCCTTCTGGGACCCAAATGGATCTGTTTGGATCTYGTCAGTGGGGCAGCTCTTCCAGTCACTCCCGAATCTTGGACTGAGATTGGTGTTTCCCAATGCTCTGTATCCAGAGGTGCTTCCCTCTGTGGAAATGACTTTTGTTTAGGGATCAGAGAGCCAGTGGAAAGGGGCAGATTGGTAGGAATTGTCTTGGGATTTTTTTAGCTGTTCCACCTGCAGCTCTTACCAATTCATCCCAAAATATTTGTTTAAGTGGGATGTTTAACAACAGCTCAGATATTGGAGTGTGTCCCAACTGGAAGTGGTTCCAGTGAGGAAGCTCCAGGTCAGGCTGCCTCACTTGTCCTCTGGGATCCTCCAGGATCTGGTGGAACAGGGATAAAAGGCAGTGGTTGTTTTCTCTCCTTATCCAGGGAAAAACTGGAGGACCAGCAAGGATCATCGAGGTCACTGGTGCCATTGAATTGGATAAAACAATGGAATGGTTTGGGTGGGAAGGGGCCTTGGAGATCAGGGAATTCCAACCCTCTGTCATACACAGGGACACCTCCCACTATCCCAGGGTGCTCCAAGCCCTGTCCAACCTGGCCTTGGACACTTCCAGGGCTGGGGCGGCCACAGCTTTTCTGGGAATTCCATTCCAGGGCCTCCCCACCCTCACAAGGAGGAATTTCTTCCCAATATCCCATCTAACCCTGCCCTCTGGCAGTGGGAAGCCATTCCCTGTGTCCTGTCCCTCCATCCCTTGTCCAAACTCTCTCTCCAGCTCTCCTGAAACCCCTTTAGGCATTGGAAGGAACTCCGAGGTCTCCCTGGATCTTTCTGTTGTCCATGCTGGACATTCCCAGCTCTCCCAGGGAGTCTAAAATGCCAAATGTCCTTTTTGTCCATGTGCTGTCCCATCACCTTGGACATGAGTGGAATCCTTTATCCACTTTCTCCAAACAGGCGTTGCACTTATTTCCAAAAGTACAGGGATGGCATCTTTTTCCTCACCAGTTTTGAGGGAAAACACCAACTTCTAAGTGAGGTTTGACTGATCTAGGTATGACAACAGTGGGATATTCCTGCTTTTCCCATCTTGAAAGTCCCGTGCCAGAGGATATGGGAATCCCACACTTTTCCAACGGCTTTTTCCTCCTGTCTTTCTCTGGGATTTCTTGCAGGATGAGGCTTTTTCCCGACTTATTTTTTGATGACAGAACAGGTGAGTTCTGGGTGTTGGGAACTTTTCCTCACTATTTCTTGGCTCTTCCTCCTTGGGCATCCCAGCTGTCATTTCTTATTCCTGGGGCTTTTTCCTTAGGAAAAACTAGGAATAAGTGCTTCAAAGGAAGATTTATTGTTTTTTTTCACTATATTTTATTGTCAGAGGTGTGGCAAATGTATAGATGAGGAGAAGGGAAGCGTGGTGTGGGGAAATTGAGATTTTTACAGAAGAATGGGGGCTTTTCCAGGAGAAGGGGGATTTTGGGAAGCACACACAGCCCTGCAGAGGGCACTCGTGCCTCTCCCATCTCCTCAGTCCACCTTTTTCTGGTTATTGATGGCCTAATTTCGTCTTTATGTGAAAGAAAGCAGATCTGGAGTAATTTGCAGCAATAACCTGCTAATGCCGGGCCAGTATCAAAATTCCCATGTTCATTCCCGGTGGCAGATAAAACACTAATATATAATTATCCTTGCAAATTGGATTGTTTTAAATAACCAAAAGGCTACGGCCGGGGAGAAAACCATCCCATTTCCCTGGAGTTCCTATTGCGGGGTAATTGCTGCGTTCAATCAATTTCCTTGGCATTAGAAATTCCATCACAATCAACATTAAGCTTTATTCATTGTGATGGCAAAGAGCCGGATCATTTCTCCTCTTTTCCTTAACTGGCAAAATTAATCAGGGAAAAGATTTTAAACATTTACCCGTGCGAAAGAGGTCAGCTCTGCCACTATATTGCTCAGCAGATAAGGGGGCTAATAAAAAGAAAATTGAATTACTAATGATCGCCAGGAACAGAGTATATAAAACCTGGCAATCGCCCGGTGCAGGAAAAAAGGGAATCAATTTTCTCCGGACAAGGTGCGCTCGTTTTTTATTTTGGCTCATATTATCAGCAATTTAATTGGAGAGAGCATAAACAGGAGGAAACAGTTAGGGAATAATGAGGCTGGAGGTGTAAAATCCTGCAGGATAGATGCTGGACACAATTTATTTGGCACAACAGATAATCACTTTAATTGAATCCAAAAGTGCAGCGTTCAGCAGCGCCGGCTCTGCGCCTCGCCCGGGGGGATCATGGAATATTACAAAGAGGCTCCTCCGTGCCTTTTCCCCCTYTGTAATGTCCCCTTCCAGGCAGGACTGCTCCGGGATTGCTTCGGCGYGGTCACAGCTGGCTGGAAGCGAGAGATGGAGCAAGCAGGAGGGAGATTCTCCAGGGATTCTTCCTTGTTTATGTGTGTTTGTTCCTTAAATAATTTGGTGCTTGCCGGGTTGGATGGCTCCGTGTGAGACCGGTCCTGTCCTGCTTGAGGTGAAGTTGAAATCATGGGATGGTTTGGATTAGGAGGGGCCTTAAGGATCAACTTATTTTGCTGTGTCCTGAGTTCAAAGCCTGGCTCCCTCCTCCTGCTGCGATCTTCAGGTTTGGGTATTAAAGGAGTTTTTAAGGAGCATTTGGGATTTTTTTCCTGGGGGAGGTGGGTGGTTCATCCTTGAA